CTGATGATATTTGTGTCTGAATCTCAAATCAGCCTCACGCTGATTGGGAGGCTGAGAGGCAGTTGCTTGGTAACCACGTTTTGCGATGCCATCCATACTTGTTGTAATGAAAAATTTAAACTCACCACTGAAGTATTCTGTGGGACTCGGACATGAGATATAGGACGTGCTATGAGACGTATGGATCGGTGCTGGAAGCTGAGCACACAATGGTGCAAAACAAACACACCTTCCTCCTCCAGTTTGATTCATGTTGCTGTGTATCCAAATCCACACAGGGCCTAAAGATGGGCTATAAGCTGCCAAAACGCAAAGATAGAAGCTGATGTTTCACCCGGAGTCTCCTCCATCTGTGTGCTGCCGTTTGTGACCGACTGGGACGATGTTCCATTAATGTTTCAGGCCCATTTCTGTTCCTGCAATAAACATGATTGAGGATGCTTCCTGCATGCAGCTGCATTTGCTGTTATTACCACAGCCAGGTTTTCCCTACATGTTTATCATTACTGTATGGAGTCATATAGAGGGGCTGAGAGGGGACACAGGGCCTGCAGGGGGGTCATGATCAAATTAATGACGATAACAATGACAAACTTTGGACATTTTTATCCAACAATATTTTTATTGTGGTTTTTAAACAGCACAAACATTACATGATAATAAAATGGTCACGTTTGAGAGTAAAGCTATTACACAGACATTTTTAAAAACTAAACTGCTTCTCTTTATGACCTTCCAACAGATTCCCCACCTCACCCCCATCCAGGACTTTGCTGTGATCCATCATGAGAACCATTAATGTCAAAAACTCCATAAAGCTCCCCCAGATACTTTCACCATCTTCTTCTTGCTTTGCTTTATTCCTGTAGGAAGTTTAATCATATGCAAACAGGGTCTACCATTCAGGTTTTTGGGTTTTCCGCTGGTTTTCTCCTGAATTTTGAAGAAGGTTGGTAACAGGCTGAGGTAGTGGACTCTAAGTGGTGATGGTCGCAGACTGCAGCCTCCTGTGAACTGCAGCTTTAATTTGATTCCCAAAGACCCAGAGGTGCTGTTGTTTCTGAGTCTCACCCATTCTCAGTTCATAGCATCAGCTTCTCTGCCTCACCTTTGGTGCATGTAAACAGACTGTCATCTATGCTGATACAATCACTCATTATTTAATTTGGTTGCATTTTTTGGCTCTTTTAAAACCCACTGATCCAAACAGGTGTGTCAGCAAATAGTGAGAAAACAAATGGGCTTTCTGATGACAAAATGAAGTGCTAAAAAAGTTTCTCAGTTGAGAGTATAATTAAACTTAGATGAGTGTTTTGGTGGGGAAATCTCAAAATCTGCTCATTTACATGCAGAGTTGACCCAATCTGCTGAAAACTGAAGCTTAGCTTTCTGTTTTTACTGCAGTTTCTCATTTAAAGGGCCGAGCTGATCAGCATCCATGTTTGCTCATACTTTAAAAAGTAATATGTGCTAATACAAACCCACTTTAGAAATGCTAAAATAACACATTGAAGCCATCTTATGCTATTGAAATAATTGTCCTGGACTCAAGTCCTGACTTTCAGGACCAGTGGCTTGATTTGGATTTGAGCAGTGATGACTCTGACTTGTGGGCGGCATAGTGGTGTCGTGGATAGCATTGTCACCTCACAGCAGAAAGGTCCTGGGTTCGAATCCGGGTCAGGGTGTTTCTTTGTGGAGTTTGCATGTTCTCCCTGTGTCTGCGTGGGTTTACTCCGGGTACTCTGGTTTCCTCCCACATCCCAAAAACATGCAGAAGTGGGGTTAGGTTAACTGGTCACTTTCAAATTGCCTTCTGCACTGCCTGGAGTATCGTAGTGCAACACATGGTGCAAAGTCGTTGCTCGACAGACACTTTTTAACCGCAAAACTTTTAAGAAGAACAACTGAAACTCAAAGAGGACAGACGAGACAAGTCACAATGACAGAGGCTGTTGCATTCAGAACAGTAGCATTGGCTGAAAGGGTTAAGGTATACATGGATATACACGGATATATGCCAATGTCACACATGAATCTTATGGTTTAAGGCTAAAGACTCACAAAAGACTGTTGTATCTAATTTACAACTTCCCTTGTTTCTGTGATTTTGATAAAAGAAGCCTTAAATGATTGCAATTTTCACCACGATTTTTTAGAACAGCTGCTGCAAAATCAGGAATTTTAGGCCGTAACAATCACAAAAAAAGCCTGAGAAATCATGGAGGGTCTGATAAAAAGACAAAAAACTGTTCTCCCAGCCCTCAGAAGTACAACAAGAAAGATGGTAAAATATGTAAATGTCCAAAACAAACCCCCTTAAAAACAATATTGGTTAGGCTGCTGGTATTTTTGAGATTGTAAAGACTCCTGCAATGATTCGACGGCAGCAAAATCAACAAGTACATTCCCTCCTGAAGAGAAATGTGGAGAACATTTCTGCATGTCACACAATTAAAATCTCATGACAGGCCAACAGACTTGGCAAGAATCAGATATTTACATGAGAAATGTGTTTTCTACCACACTCAGTTCAGGTTCACACAGTCAATAGTTTGAAGTCAATGAGCCACCCTGTTTGTGATAAATTATCAGTATTACCAATGAGGACTTGATTTGGACTTGGGCACAGGTAATGGTTTCTTGATTCCTCCTGAAAGACTCAAAAACTCAACTTGGACTTTAAGTTCAGTGGCTAAAACACAACATTGGATGACGTCTGAAATTTTAAATTCTACCAGATTCTTTCCCCTTAGTTGGATAATCCCATATTGCAATGCTGCTGTACTGTCTTGCATTAATATCTTGCATTGACTACTGCAACTCCTTACTGGCAGGCCTCCTTGCATCCATTATCAAACCTCTGCAGATGATCCAAAATGTAGCGAACTGTCTGGTCTTTAAACAGCTAAAACAGCACACGTCACTCTGCTGTTCATTCCTCTTTACTGGCCTCCAGTTGCAGCTCACATCAAATGTAAAATCCCTCATCTTGATATCAAAACAGCAACAAAACTGGCTATACAGGAATCCTTTAACAGGTCTACACTTTCACCCTCCAGCTACACTCTGCCAATAAAAGGCACCATCACAACAAACTTATGTTTTTTGATTACATATGTTGACTCGTCCATTGTCTATGGACAATTTGGCTCAGCCTTCCATCATTATACAAATTTGAAGCTTAATTGCTCTCGGTATTTCCGGGATTTTCTCCACTTCCTGGAACCACCACTTGCGCAGTAGCGTTATACACATTTGGCTGGAGAGTCGTTGTGATGACACTCGGCTCAAACAGCGTATCCCCCCTGGTGAGCTACGCAATCTTCGTACGCCCATAGGCTATATCAGGTGTCAATCATTGCAAACATGAACCCCCTAATAACTTTTAAGAACGAAGCTGCACAGAAAAAAGAGGACCTGAGCACAAACCAGTCTTACAATAACTACATGTCAACATCGCAACCAGGGGGGAGAAAAATGTATATTCTGTGTAATAAATTTCTAAAGTTTGTCTACAACTCCATAGGGATTGATGGAGGAGGCGGGATTTATGACCTATACTGCAGCCCGTCACCAGAGGGTGCTGTTCTCATGGTGGTTTCACCCAGCGAGGAGGCAGATGCTGTTCATTCTATATACAGTCTATGCTCATGTCCCATCTTTTAACATGGTCAAGATATTGAAGTTCTTATAATAATCACATCAGCCATTATTAGAAAGATCATAATCAGGATATCTGTACTTCTTCATGAAGTCAGGCACTTCTAAGTAATGTTTATAGTTGAGTTAAAAAGTAAGATTCAAGACACTGTAAAAATACGTTAGTGTGTGTGTGTTTGTAGCCATAACTGCGAGTTAAAAACTTCACAGTGAGCAGCTGAGCAGAATAAAGCTTTTAACTGATTTCTGAGTGCTTGGCTCTCATTTTTTCACCCTTCTTAAGCTAACAATTATGACTGCCCATGCAGAATAAAGGCTTCACACACGTTTTCAGAGTGCCTTGGATTTCTCTTTTTTCCACATGACCACCAAAGGACCTTTTTTCATCTTGGTGAAAGCTCTAAACTCCACCATCATTAGAGGCTAAGAAGCACTTTAAAGCTTCTTATTTGTTTATGAAATGACCCGGCATCAGCGGCATGTCTGCTCCCTGTATTCAGATGATACACATTACTTAAACGTGGAGGAATCAGACAGGCAGGCTGAGCAATACCAGCTTTGAAAAGACAAGACTTTGCTGTTACAGCGCTGACAAAGCAGTGAAGCGCAGCCCCGTCTGAGCCGGCCACCATTGTTCTTGACTCTTCTTACTCTCTCTCCGGGGGCCAATTCTTTATACATGCCATGTTCTCCTGCCATTACCATGACCCAATTTCCTTTGAAAACTGTGTTTTCCAAATTGCAGAAAGAGCCGGGGCTGCTACAAGAGCTTTTAAAGAGAAACTGTCCCCTTGAGTTTAACTATGCGTGCTGCTGAGTCGTGGCAAAGAAAGTGCTTCGTCAAGAATTTCTGATAATGCTCTGTTTTCTTTCTTTTTTTTTTTTTTTTGCCCACAGGGCTACAAGTCTGAGCCACGGGCTTTAGGCTGCTGGAGTGAGGAGCCTGGCGGAGAATTACAGTGCAAACAGCTTCTCCAATACGGAGACAGACTTCCCAAAAGGAAAGATGAAGGGGTGTCTCCGGTGTCATGTATCGCTGCTTAAAAATGGAATAATTCACTCGGCTTTCTCTGCAGTTAGAAAGAAACCAACTGAAGGCACTACGTCATCTTTAGTGCTCTGAAACATTTCTACCCTGTCGATATTTCTCTCAGCTTTCCATCGTTCCTCTCCTCAGAGTGAATTGTGGGTCAGCTCTGGAGTAATGGCACTTGCCAACATGCTGTCATCACTTCCAATAACTGTCTTATTAGTCTAAAACCCTGTCCCTGGCACCACTGCTGGCACGCTTTAATGTCTCACTAATTTACAGCCAGACTTACAACTGAATGAGGCCGTTTGATGTTGGGTGCTGGCGTTTGATCAGGGCCGTATATTCACAGAGCTCAGTGGTTGGGGATATAAATGATTATTACTGTAGCGCTGCTTTGTAGAATATAATGAATGATCATTGATGGTTCAGTGTGGGAGCCTGGGGAATGGTTTCCTCTTATAGGAAGTGGAATGAAGATTATTGAAGATAGTTATTATCTCATGCTGTTGTCAGCTGGGAATCCCCTCATAAACCAAACAGTGTAAAAAGGTAAGAACATAGTGTTTGTTAATGTGATAGATCAGACTATAAAAATGGCTTGGGTTGTTGATAGTAACTCATATGTTTCATGATTGCAGTTAGGGCTGCTTGGTAATGGCAAAAATCATAATCATGTTTATTTCTATTGATAATGAGATCATTAATACTAAACACAGTCTGCAGCAGATGCATTCACAGGACAATTTAAAACTCTTTTAAACTTTTTATTTATTTATTAATTTTTTTTATTTTTTTTTTACGGACAAACCCTCCAGCCGGCTTCCTCCTCAGGGTCAGGGAGCGACTTAGGTGGGACCATGGCATCATTTATTCTATGTTAATCATTACTATATCCCACCACATTTTTCTATTTTATTTTATTTCATTTTATATAAATATATTTATTATTCTAATATTTTTTATCTACTTATTTATTCATTGTTTATTTATTATTTATATTAAAAAATATTGTATTTATTTTTGTTTTGTTCTATTATTATTACTATTATTTTATTATTGTAATCATTATTATGTCATATTGATTCCTTTTATTCTTACATTTCATTTTATATAAAATTCTTTTATTTTTTAATAAAAAAAATTCTATTTTTTTGTTTTGTTCTTACAGTATAATACTTTTAATTATTTTATTATTGAAATTATTATTATGACATATCGCTTACTTTTTCTTCTTTTACTCTCTCTTTTAACAATTATTACAATTTAAAAGAGGGGAAAAAGAGGTGCAATCACACCCACAAACACATACACTCCTCAACACACGGTATCACCCACCCACAATTATTTAAACACAGCCTTGCAACACCTTCAAACCAAAAGTATCTAAATGTTGTGTTTTCCAGCTTTACTCGTCACTTTATCGTTTTGTCTCTATTGTCTGTTTGTATTGCGTATATGTTGTCAACCACTTGTCATGATCTGTTTAGCATCACTTAATAAAAAAAATATAAATAAAAATAAAATACAACTCTTTAAAACTTCAACACTCTGATCGCTTTCAAAAACAAACAAAAAATGGACTTTAAGTGACAATTATTAAGTGGAAAAAAGTATATATATATATATTTTTTTTTAAGCTCTTCCACAACTTATATTTCACAACGAGCTGCAAATCCAAGGTATCATTCAGTCTTTTCCGGCCTGATTGTGTTTTATTATGACAGACAAACTGTTAAGCCTTGCAAATGTTAGCTCCTTACAAGCTCAAGCATGCTCATGGTCTTTCAGCCTTTCTGTTTTTGTGCTTATGCCGTCCCTTAGCTTTTCAGACATACAAGCCTGCCTCCCCCTGCTCCTCTCCCTGCTCTCCTCTCTCCACCTGTAATCGCATGATTGTTTGTACTGCTAGTACTCAGTGTGATGAAGATACAGAGGTCCATAATTAAACCTGAGACTTCCCCAAACTTTTTTGCAAACTAATCTTAGCTCTTAGAGTGAGAGCTGCTTTAGGGGAGGGGCGGAGAACACACTCTGCTTTTAAGGAAGACAGAGAGGGTGCGCTTCATTTCAAAACAAACCAATACGTCCAAGACACAGAGAGCAGCACAATATCAATCAGTCGTAATTGTTCACATAAAAGCCACTTTTCTTTTGGTTTGCTAATTGACTTTATAAATGCTGCATCGCCTTTGAATCTGTCTCACTGAAAACTCTGCAGACAACTTGAGAGATACTCAGGGTGAGGCTGTGGAGGGAATAAGCTCCTTGACGGGTAAATCTGGACAGATCTTCCTGAGATCCTTCCCTCTCTTGTCACTTTTTATCATTCAATAAAAAGCATCACAGTAAAACCAGGTCTGAAATCATCACCTCACTGTGTGTAGTCTACTGACATCACATTACAATCTTAAAAGCTCATTTTTCAGAGTATTGTTGGAACTCTGGCTCCCACACAGATGCATCAGCATGTGAAGAAGACTTTTAAACAGATAATTTGTTCCCATTAAGATCCGCACTGACTGCAGCGTCTTGTTCAGAGCATCTGTGATTATGTTTTCTTCAGTAAGTAATGGTTTACAGCTGGTGTTTGTGATCAGATTAATGTCATCCTCTCTCATGATGACAGTTACTTACTTTACCTTCTTATGTGGTACAGTACGCTAGTACACAGCCTGTTTGAGCTCAGATGCACAGTACTACAGGCCTTGCCTGCATGAGCTATACCATCACATTTACCTGTCTGTAACTCTTTTTTGTACCTCTTTTGAAGGTATAAAAGTAAACCTCTCAGTGAACTAAGGAGGTGGATAGTTATAAGTTTATGGATTGCACAATATAAGTGAGCTTTTTACCCTTTATGCAGAAAAATGGATCAACTTCCATGCAGTCTGATGAAAAAGGAAAGCAAAGTTCAAGTGGACTCTGTTACCAGATGCATAACTTCACTTCTGACCTGCCTGTTCAGCTAGCAGGGTGCAAGTGTGCTCTTGTGCTGCAAGTTGCATACTGGAAAGTATATTGATGAGTTGTACTTGTGTTTTGTAATCCAAAGATGGTCGTTAAAATATTGAAAATGCTGACTACAACTAACTTCAACTAAGTCAACTAAGAGCAGGGGTGTGCCCAGAGTTTCCTGACAGAGGTGGCCCAATCTCTGACTTCTTTGGGGGGTTGCATTGAATTAATATGAACAAACACATGAATATTTTTTCAAGTCTACACATTTGTTTAGATACCTTGCATAAGTGGCACAAAGGGAGTTCTTCAACAGTGAGACTGTGTGTAGTAGATAACTCGAAGTTTTTCGAGTATCAAAAGGCAAGGCAAGTTTATTTGTATAGCACCATTCATACACAAGGCAGTTCAGAGTGCTTTATAGTTGCAAGGAAATACATTTTAAAAAAATAAAAAAGATCACAGATATAAAATAATTTAAAATCAAAAGATAAACGGATACATTTTTTCATCTGTTCCATGTTTATCCTGAACACCATGAAAACCAAAAAACAAAATAAGTCACAAGCTTTCAGAACCAAGATGTTAATTAGTTTTCTCGTTGTCTATGTCGGAGGTTGTTACTTTTCTTTTCGTCTATGTCGGACGGTGTTAGTTTTCTCTTCATATCTTGGAAGTTGTAATTTTTCTTTGCATCTATCTCAAACCGTATTAGTTGTACTAGTTTTCTCTTTATCTATCTCGGACAGTGTTAATTTTTTCTTTGCCTATTTCGGACAGTGTTACTTTTCTCTTTGTCTATCTTGTACGGTGTTAGTTTTCTCTTTGTCCATCTCAGACGGTAGTTGTACTAGTTTTCTCTTTATCTATCTCAGGCGGTGTTGGTTTTCTTTTCGTCTATCTCAGACAGAGTTAGTTTTCTCTTTGTCTATCTTGGAAGAAGTCAACAGAATGAGACTGCTTTGTCCAGAAAGGGTGCCAGAATTGACACACAACAAAAGTCCCTCACAGGAGCTTTAAACACACCCAGAAAGCAATGATCCCGCTTTGTTCAGCTGGTTAAGTGAAAAGCGAGCCTGTGTAATGATGGGCCGATGGTGTGCGTTTATTACTGTTTAAAAAGGCCACAGAGGCACGTCTTTAGGTGTCAGAGTCAAGTCTTAAATGAGACATAAGGGGATTTTAAAAGCAGGGACCCATCATAAATGTGTTTGTTGGAGTGATTTTATATTTTCTCTGCTCCTCAAGTTACAATAAGCTGACTGTGTAGAAAATGTTAGGGAATTCGAAAAACCATCTAAAGCCCAAACATGCCATCGCCACTAAGATGAAGTTTGTCGATTCAGCTCTAGCCAAGCCTCGGGGAGCTGAAAGGTTCCTCCGCGCTCCTGAGGAGACACTTAAACTGAGTTAAACATTAATGCGCAATCATTTATACATCGTACGGTCTCACATGCCTTCTTATATACGGCACCGTGCATCCCTCAGCTCCTGGTGCAGGTCTGCTTATGTGTTTCACCAATTAGTTGTGCAGCCATCAGTTGCCACGGTGATCACACGGGGAAGTCACCGAGCAGAGTAACGGGAAACACAGCGAGCCCCCGCAAATCATGTCAACGCCTCCCAGAGGACGACTTTTCCAGATGCCTCTGTTTTCCTCTTCACTGAGGCGTTACAGCATGTGTGGGCATTTGTGTGTAAGTGTGTGTGTGTGAGTGTGGGTGTGTGTGTATGCATATCTCAAGTATGAACGTGTAAAAGTGGGTCACAGCTGCCAAAATAAGAGTCTTCTCTCTAAGCAGGGGCTTTCCTTGAACCAACAATCAACCTTGTCCTCCCCTGCTCTCATCTGAGCACATGTACTCCTTTGTGGAGGTGAGAGGAACGCAGAGGAAATATTAGAGCATAAATTTTCCAAATAGGCTGTCATACTGATGTGCGTCCCTCCCTCTATCTTTCACAGGCCTTTCTACCGTCCCGGTGCCTCTCTTTGATATCTGCCCTGTCTGCCAAACCCGAGCAGAGCTTGTTTCCCAGGTCGGTCTTATCTTTGTTGTTGAGGAAAATCCATTATAAAGTCTTGCATTTTCAATTTCTCCCCTCAGATTTTTGGACTGCGAATATTTCTCTGAATATGTGTGTTTGCTTTCAAATACATTTATGCTAATACAAAGCAGAAGGTTTCGTGTGAAGAAGACATTCTCAGTCTGCATTTGAAGACTTAACATCATTAGAAAGAGAAACGAACACAGCTCATGCCTCAGATACCTCTTTTATTGTCGGCGGAGATTTCTTTTGCTCTTTACTACAAGAGCGTAATTGAAAACAGGTCAGCTTTGTTCACACTGGAATATGCTGCAGCCATTATGTCTTTACCAGGGACAAAAGAGGGGTGGACAGTGCTCTCAAATGTCACTGCTTTGTTTCTACGCTGTTTAAATATGCAGTTTTCTAGCATTCAAAAGAAAATTCACTAATCATGCATCCTTTACGGGGTCTTTCCCACCAGTACACATCCCATCTGCCTCCTCGCTGGGTGAACCCACAAAGAGAACAGCACCCTCTGGTGACGGGCTGCAGTATAGGCCATAAATCCCGCCTCCTACAGCAATTCCTATGGAGCTGTGGACAAACTTTAGAAATTAATTACACAGAATATAAATTTTTCTCCCCCCTGGTTGCGATGTTGACATGTAGTTACTGTAAGACTGGTTTGTGCTCAAGTCCTTTTTTTCTGTACACCTCTGTTTTTTAAAGTTATTAGGAGGTTCATGTTTTCTATGATTGACACTTGATACAGCCTATGGGCGTACGAAGATTGCGTGGCTCAGCCGGGGGATACTCTCGTCGACTCTCTAGCCAACTGTGTACAACACTACTGCGCAAGTGGTGGTTCCAGGAAGTGGAGAAAATCCTGGAAATACAGAGAGCAATTCGGCTTCAAATTCGTATAATGACGGGAGGCGGAGACAAGTTGTCCATAGTATATACAGTCTATGAGGAGAAACAACAAAATTCGACCCGGCATTGCTCAAATATTTCTTTGCTGCTGCTCTCCCTGCCTTGGGTTGTCATGTATGCACATGAAACAAAAGGTGACCACCCCAACCCGACCCTAACTCCCCAAAAGAAGAAATCACACTTCCTCACTAATTTTTCCTGTTACCAAGGCAACGGTGGCTGTTGAGGGCCAAAAGCAATTTACATGATAAAGATGCTGTCATCCACAACAGAAGAAGCTAATTCAACTGTTTCAAGTGATGAGGTGGTGATGTTTTTAGTATTTTTTAACAAATACAAAAAGTAAATAAATAAGAGAATTTCAATTACAAGTTTTTCATTATTTTGTTACAGAAGCTAATATGAGTAAAGTAATGCTAAACAAAGCCAACATCTGTGACCAACAATAGAAAAAATAGGATTAGGATTAATAAATCAGTTTTTAATCATAGTAAAATCATTGTTCAGTGAGAATAAATCAAGACTTTTTCTAGGTCATTAGAAGTCAAAAGAAACAATTATGATATTCCATTCAATACAAACTAATTTAAACAAACTTCTACATGATAGATCCCATGTCTTTAAAAATAATGGTGCTAAATTCTCCACTCTGTACTTTTAAACTCTTGGGACAGCCTCGGTGCCAATTTCAGATCGATCTTTAAATTATTTTTAAGGAGAATATATTGGTTGACCAAAACTAGACTACAACTGTGAAGGATAAAAGCGGCTCAAAATTCCACTGAAACTAAAGTTATTTTCATCCAAAGACAAAGACTAAAACTTAATCAAGAACAGCTGCTAAAATAAAGACTTGGTGCTTCATTTGGCCTTTAGTAACCCTCCTTTTTCTCTCTCTTTCCCTCCCTCCCTTCCTCTCTCTATATGTTTACATAATTAAACAGCCTCAGTGAGAAACAGAGGATTGAGAGGGTCAGCGAGGGGCACATCCACAAAATTGAGACCCCACCTCACATATTATTTATCGAGCCCGACACGCTCATGTCTCTCTGGCGAACTCTGGTCAACATTATCAATGCTGTTTTCCAGCTCATTACCCAGAGTTCCCTGCAACGCTGTGTGTCTCCTGAGAGATGTTTCCATGTGCTTTAGTGGATCTCTGGAGCTGCCGGAAAACCCAGCGCATGAATTTAGCTACATTGTGGACATTGATAATTGAAGAAAGAGAACAAACAGCAGCTGATGCAGAACGCAGAGAGCCTTTATGTGTTACGGTTTGCAGGATCTTAATGAGCGCTCCAGGCTCTCCTCTTCTGCAGCATCCATATGTCGAGGGCCGTATTCACATGACGTAAACCGCCTCAGATACTGTATTTCCCATCAGCCGCCTCTGTCACTGCTGTTGGGATTGAACGCTGCCTGAGGGCTGCCAGGAAAACAAAGCTATTCCATCTCTGTGTGTATGTTCATTTTTATCCTCAGCCATAATGTTAGCTCATCATTCAACCGGCAATGAGAAACGGCTCATCAGAGATGAGATATAGATATTTGCACATCACAGAAAATGACTAAAGCTTTGTTTTTGAGATCAAATCAGATACAGAAAGGAGGAAAAAGTTGTTCATTTTGGTTTTATGATGATACTGTGTGTCTGTGTGTGCATCCACTCCCCGCCTCTATGTACCCACCCTCATATTAAATACACTGCAGGGCATAATATTTACCACTGCTGCCATTTTTACTGACTATTAAAATGTATACAGTACATTTCTAAGACCTGAGCTTTTGTTTAGTTTGCATTTTTATGTGATCCTGTCTATTTGGGATTAGTATGACCCTATAAGAATAAAAAGTGATCATCCTCTTTGAGCAGGGAGTGGTTTATGAAAACAATGCTGTTCTCAAACGAGAAGATGGGATTATTTTACAGTCTGTCTGTGCAAAAGCTAATTTCAATAAACACACACCTTCAAGCCTTACTGCTCTCGATTTTTCCAGGATTTTCTCCACTTCCTGGAACTATCACTTGCGCAGTTGCATTGTTCGCATTTCAGCTCAGCTCAAACAGCGTATCCCCCGGGTCAACTTGTCGCAATATGTTCTTTTGTTCCCCTGGTTTTGGTGATTTAAGTGTATATTTCCTAGTGTTTCTGTGCCTTATTGTTCCTGTTCCCCTGTAGTCTTGTCTTCTCAGTTTGTGTCTGACCCCATTTTCCTGATGTTCTCAGTGTTTTATTCTGTATTATCAGTTTTCAGTGTTTCCTGTTTAATTTTGTAGTAGTTTATTTCCTGTGTTTCTAGTCTTGCTTTATTTCCTCAGTTTTCCCTCCTTAGTAATTGTCTGCACCTGTGTCTCTGTGTCTCACCTGCCTCTTGTTGCTTGTTCCCCTGTGTGTGCGGTCTGTGTGAATGTATGTCGATGCCTCATGTGTACGCCTGTGTCTCCAGTGAGTCTCCTTGTGATTTTTGTTTCTCTTGGATTTTGCCTCTTGTCTTTTTTGCCTTTGGGAGTTTCTCTTTAAAGTAAATTTTGTTGCTTTTTATTTAGTTCATTTAAATAAATACATTTTTGTCCTGCATTTTGGACCCTTCCCGTTTGGTTTCACCCTGAAACAGGCCAGAGCTAGCTAAGTTTGTCCACAGCTCCATAGGGATTGTTGGAGGAGGCGGGATTTATGACCTATACTGCAGCCTGTCACCAGAGGGTGCTGTTCTGTGCAGACGGCGGCCATTCTATTCACAGTCTATGGTTGTGACGGCTACACTTTCACAGAAACACAATATCATCCCAACCCACTTTCTACTAAAGCATAAACTAACAGACGACATGGCGGCCTGAACGGATGGTTGTGTCCAAAGAGTCCACCAATTCTTGATAACTGGACTCCTTATACTGCTAACACACTAACACAGGTTCCTATGCAATGATAACATAGTTCAGAACTCCAGTAAGCTACGACATAGCGAATCCTTTGAGGCCTGTGATTCCTTAGCGGACTCTTGAACTGTTAACTGTTCATAGTATTCTGTTTTAACTCAGCAGCGGGCTGTACAAATGTCAGGAAAGGTAGACACACTGAAATTTGAAATTATGTTTAAAGCCCCTCTGAGGGACTTTCTGTCTGTGTTGATTTGTGTGCTCCCTGTGAACAAAGTGGTCTTCCTTTTATCATTGATAATCTTACCTGGTGTTCTTGTGAAGGTGGTATAAATTGACAAAAAAACTCCCCCTGATATCTTTTAATGTTGCAGTTTTTCTCACACAGGGAATATGTGTTGTAGGGAAGGTAAGAAAGACTATTTCTTGTTCGTACTTAAACTCGCAGCAGGTTACAGGTGTTAAAACATCAGGATACAGAAACTCTTATCTTGTTTGCAACAGTAGGTTACATCATAGAGATGCATGGTTATTACTTTAAGTCTATTTCCTCACCCTTAAAGCGCTCCTCACATCATCTTTAAATAATGAGTTTGTTATCATGTGATCAAATTTGTCAAAAATTGATGTCTGCAGTATCAACACCAGTGTTTCTTTTTCACTTTTTACTTCAGCCTGATTTAATATTTAGATTCCACTGCTGTACTGTTTGAACTTTGTGTTGTACTATAACAAGATCCTGCACTTGAATGACAGCAGATCTGATTCTAACCAAAGAGAGGACGGTGACAATTAAACAAAGAAACCTGATTTATGATTATAACAAAAGCTAACTGGACCTAGGTCCAAGTTTGACTTGAAAGCATGTTTGTCTTTAGCTCTATGTTTAGCCACAAAGAGACTCTGGTTGGACAGAAAGAGGAGCTGAGGGAAGGGCAGAGAGAGACAGCCAAAGAGATCAGAGGTTGAAGCCATGAGCGATGCTGAAAACGACCTCTTCTGCCTGGATGGACATGCTCACAACAAGCCGAGCCACAGCTGTGCTGAGCTGGCTTTGTGGAGCTCAGAGTGTGTATGTGTGTGTACGTCTGCGTGTGTGTGAATGCGTACATGTACAAGTGTGTATAAGTGTATCTATATCCCTTTATGTTCTCGTGTATGTATATGTATACATGTGTGTGTGTGACAAACAGCAGCTTCCCCGCTCCGACTCCAGAGGAGGATGACCTCACATTGACCTTCATTATGAGAGTGAGTAAAGAGGTCGTCTGCTTGCTGACTCGGCCTCTTATGAGGAAACGATGAAATGACAGAGGTCAAGATGCACAAGTCTTCACAGAGCAGTTATCTCACACAAGGATATAAAAGGTGTAGATTTCTCTGACCTGTTAAACCAAGCACCCGATCCTTGATCTGATCTCTTCAGCTTTTTATGCGTGTAGAAAGTGAGCTTATATTTCTCTTTACACACTCCAATAATACTTTGCAAATCATAAGTAAATCTGCAGTTTGTGGTCTCCAATACACATATGGAGAGTTTTATTGACATGCACTGATGAAGAAATGACAGGGCAGGGTGAGGCAGATGCACACTGATGGGCACCCGAAGGAGATTTGAGGTTAAATATCTCACTGAAGGGCACCTTGGCAGTGCCCAGAAGTAAACTGGCTCTTCTCCAGCTCCAAGCCCAATTTCCACTGTGGGTCCATCATCAGACTTGAACGGGACAGCCTCCAGTTCCCGTGCCAAGTCCCTACAGACTGAGATACTGCTGCCTCTAGCTGCCGCTGCCTCTTTTCCTTTAGCCTGTGCATGAGATGCTCACGGCCTTCAACTTCCTCAAATGTCAACCAGTCCACAGTAATAACCATAAAACAGGGCAACACGTGCTAACTCGCATGTGTGATGTCAGGAGAAAAACAGATTCATTTGGGGTTATAAAGCTTAGGACTTACAGCAGGGGAGAGATGATAAACTTTGATATCTTCTTTTATTCCTGCCATCACACATACAAATGGACACTTGAAGGTACCTAAAGACAGACCACACAGCACTGTAGAGGTAAAGAAGATGCTCAAGGTACCACAAAACAATCTTTTAATATTAGTGAAACAAAAACAATAACATCTTTACAAGGTGCAATATGGAGCACAGTGTTCATTTCTAACATTATATTAGAAGGCAATAATGATTTGCACTGTTTGCTCAGTCTTTGTACACACCCTGACATAGGTACTATTTTAATTTTCTGCATGTTGACCTTCATTACTTATACCCCACGTTTTCTCCCTCTCTTCAGCTGTCCTCTCCAATTAAGTCAAAAATGCTACCAAAAAAAACTTCAAGAAGAAAGAAAACTTAGCACCAAAGGGTACCCGAAAACAGACCTCAAGAAAATTTGACAGGAAACAACATTTACTGACAGTATTTTAAAAAACATGATAAAATAAAGCCATCGCTTAAAGGGAACCTAAAAACATCTCGAGTTACAAACAGACACTCTGAGGTACCTTAATACAGGCTTGACAATGTATTTGAAAGGAAGAGAACAGATATTGATGGATAACTCATAAAATAAAGTTAAGAATATAGTTAGATATGATAACAGAAATACTTTTAACAGACTTGTTATCATATCACATTTGAAAAAAAAACCTTTAGGGTTCCCCAAAAGAGATCTAAAACCATCCCAACAAGGGAAAAACTGACATTTTTCAGCGAACTCTAGAAGAGAGTTTAGATGATGTGTGAGAGTAATCTCAAAGATCTCCTTGTCATGTGTAGGACAGAAATGAAACAGAGACTAAGTGGTACCTGAATATAGATATGATTAGAATATGAGTAAACTGATGTCAAAGGATAAACAAATTATTCCAACATCAGGCCTTATATTCATACCAAATGTTTAAAAAATCATAATTGAAGGGTTCCCAAAACACACCTAAAATATGTTGGAATGAAAACAACAAACACTTGAAAGTATTTAAAAGGGGGGAGTTTTTATGTTTGACACTGACAAAAACGCACTGCAAACCCCAAGTACTACCTTATGATCCGTCAGAAAAGACAAAAAAAGACATAGGGTACCTCGATACAGACTTCACTATTTATTCTGAAAGTAGATTAAAAGAAAAACAACAGATATATAAATTGTAACAGACTTGTAAGAGAAAGTAAATCTGCATATTGAAACAGATCTACCATTATTTGAAAAATAGAAATAAAGAGTACCTTGATACAGACCCTTTTATATGTTTAATAAATGAAAATGAATAATACTAAAAAATGTTTACTGAAAACCACTTATATTTCATTTTAAAAATGGCAGTGAGACTGTAATAAGACCCATACTGTGTAACAAAATAGGAAAGTAGGCACCATGGGGTACAATAAAACAGACTTGACTATTCAGGTAAATGGAAGTAAATAGACTTTTATGGACAACTAAATGTAGATGGTAAAAATATTCAATGAACGGTACGGTATGGAGGAAAAATAGAAGAATATATATACATATAAATCAACACAAGACACTTTGAGGTACTCAGACAGGGAACTAAAGGATTTTAAACACCTTGTAATGTGTTCAAAATTAATCAAAGCAGACACCAAGAGGTACCTGGATACAGACTTGACAATTTGAAGAAGATAACAGATTTTTGAGTATTACTGCAAACAAACAAGTAGGTAAGTATGGAAAATAAATCGTTTTATGGGTTCTTCAAGTCCACACTGACTTACTTGAATACATGGGTGTTACGTTTCACAAGATATCACAACAACCACTGGGTGAGGATACGCTACCGGACCAAGCAGAGCTACCTGACTCCTTAAGTGTGAGGTGAAATGAGTACTGTTGAATCATGAATATTCTGAGCAGCAATTGTATTCAGCAAAACAACATTAGTAAAACACAGTGCATGTGCTAAATATTGCATCAGGTGGAGAGTGCGGCTAATACAATGCGATGAAATATTAAACAGCTGCTCACACACATGAGGCACAACATGAAAGTGTGAGGGGATATCAGAGTCGCACTGTTCGGATCCCTGCAGGTCCCTGGAGCGGGAGAGGAGCTGCATTGAGATTCAAGGCCTGGGAGAGCGTTGCAGCGAGTCCTTGAGGGGGGAGATAGGGGTCTTGTTTGGGTCCTGTTTGAAAAAATGGTGAAGAGTCCACCTGATCTGCTGCGACTACTGCTTTAGAAACTGAAGGACACAGAGACGGCTGCTCATCCCAAATACCTCAGATCTCATCAAAACAACTCATCATGGTGGAATACAACACATTTATAACCAGAATAAAACATGTGCACACAGCCATCAAAGCCTTTCCGCAGTCCCACTCAAGGTTCAATGTCATTTGTACATGTGGGCTGCCACACACCCTCTCCCAACCTGTTCCATCCTGCTCTTTAAGCCTCCAGCCATCCTCTTCAGCACTTTCTCATATGCGATCATCACAACGAAAAGAAGAATCTCTTTGTTTTTTTTCTGTTAATCGTTTTATTTCTCCATCAGAGATGAGGATCATGATTAGATATCAGTGATTTGATCTCCCCCATCATTATTCCATCCTGACTAAGCTTAGATTAATGTTGTTTGTGAGGATAATCAGAGGTTTGTTTTGGATGTGCTCCTGTGATGGATAAGACTGGTACTCTTTACAGACAGAGGACACCTTCAGCACAGTCCCTGTCCTCAGATCACCTGGTCCCTCCTTCCAAAATTATCCCGCTAAAAGCTCTGAGCCAGGACTAAGAGGGGATGGGTTTTTGTTGTACCAGTCTGAGAAATGGCCCTGAGTCTCTTGGCTACACATAAGCAGACAGAGCGGTGTATGACAAATGTTTCGCTGGAAAGGGATTTGTTGGCCTCTGTGTATTTTCTGGGGTGTTGTTTTCATTCTCACTTGTAAAAGGTAAGTTTGAGGGTTTGAGATATGGTGGAGCGCTTCAGTTTTTTTATAAGGTTTAGGTGAAAAATAAGAAGAACTTTATTGAATAAGAATAAGAAGAACTTTATTGATCCCTGAAGGGAAATTCAATTGTCTGTTGTCTCACGTAGTATATCTATAAAAGTTATCTATTATTTACATAAGAGTTATAAAGCCTGATGGCTGTTGGTACTAAAGTAGTAAAATCTAAATAACAGTATGCATAACTACTTATGAATTGGGAATTTTAAACAAATTTATGGTAATGCAGAGATAGACAGATTAAAGGGATATTCTGGCAAAAAATTAATTTTGGGTCAAACACACCGTAACACCGAGTTAGGCACCAATGTTCTATGTGGAAATGTAGCCGGCTATCAATAGTTTACCAACATAGTGGGACATAAGAGGATACTCGAAGCTTGTAAATAACCGAACGTCATTGAAGCAGGTTGGTAAAAAAAAAAAAAAAGAGTATATCCACCATCATTCACAACGCAAAGCACATAAGTCCAATTAAGATATCAAACAGGTCACTGATGACTGTGTAAATGCAGGGTTTATGGGTTTATTCTGTAAGGTAGTTTATAAATTGTTTTTAAAGTCCCTGGAAAAAAAAACATTTTGGAGATGTTTGAATACGTGTTTCTTATTGGATAGTGATAATTTATAAGCAGCTGAACTTTAAACAGAAAACTTCAAAGTTGAATATCTGTCACTTTGCATTAAAACACGCAGATGTTTTAAGTAGACTCCACCACAGAAATGGCAACTTGTTAACTTCTGGTTGTATGTGGGATTGATCTACAGAATAATACAGTTATATTCTGCAAAGGAAAAACAACTGCATCGACAGTGAATGTGCTGCAAACAACACAAAGCCATGAACAAACAAGAGCAGAGTCTGAGATGTTTATCCTGCTGATGGAAATAAAGATACCTGGAAACAAATAGAGGATTATCTGCAGGTTTGATTACAGTCAGGGGACATACACAGACAGACAACTTCTGTAAGTCGACAGCTTTCTTTAATACAGTCGACACCCTCACGACATCTTTAAATAACAGGGATCATTTTAATGTCGGCAGAAACCTTGACCTTTAAAATATCACTGTGTTGCAAAAGGTATGTGGTCGGCTTTATGATCAGTAGCTCCAGCTTCAGAGTTTAACCGTTTGCTTCATGCTGAACAGAAACAAATATAAACGCAGAGCTTCAATGTTGTAGAGTAAAAGAATGAAAATTTAGAGAACATTGAAAAACTGAGAGGTTGAATATGAAATAGTAAAAATTCATCAACAAACAGAAACTGAACACAAAAGACCCACGCTGTGATTTAAGACTTTGCAATCAGAGTGGACTGAAAAGAGTGAAACAGCTTCACTGTCAGCAAGAGAGAGATGTAACCACAAATTACAACACAGAGCAGGCTTTGGCAGTTGTGCAGGGCTGGTGTACAACCTGGTGGCTAATGTGCAGACTTTAACATGAATGAAAGTGTTGAGTTTGAAAAAATGAATGCATGAAGTATAGTTTTAAAAAAGCAGTAAGTCACATTTAAAAACAAAAAAAATCCATCTTCTCTTGAAAGAGCAAGATTTAAGTGGACTCTGTTGATGTTTGTTGAATAACCCAAGGTTTGTGTGAGTCAGAAGAACATATAAAGAGTGAGTTTTGCTACCTTGTCAAAGAATGACAGAAAACTCTGTATAGGAGCTTTAAATCTGGAGTTACTGTGTATTTGAGCAGACACTGCAGGGTGCTTTGTTTTCCCAAATCTGTCAGGTTTTCTTCCTCCTGTCTTGAATCCACACGACACTCTGTTCTGATCAGGCACTTCAAAGATTGTGTCCACAGCTTGTCTCTTTTCTTCAGGCTGCAGGTTGTAATGAGGCAATCATTTTTGTGATTCCAGCTGCTAGCATGGCTTTTTTGGCTGTTTGGTTTCTGGTTGGATAGCTGATAACTTATTTGGTTCCTACCAGAAGCTGTAAACACGCTCCTTACTGACATTCACTGGGTGGAAAATCACCCGATGACAACAAAGAAGATAAATGATAGGGGCAAGAATCTGTATTGGTGCCCTTGTTGCAGACACGATTGGTTTAAATAGGAGAATAAAAAACAGTGATGTAACAGAGCCAACTATTATGCCACCGCATTATTCATTAGAGCATTTCTGAATCAGATTTTCATCATAATTTTAATTTCCGTTTACATCATTGTCTGAATTTATGGTGCGTTCCAGTTGTACTCGGAAGTAAGGGTTTCCAAGCTCCGAGACTAAAATTCATCTGGAAAGAACTCGGAAAGTTGGACGATCCTCACCAGCCCCGACTTGACGACAACGTCATAATCCAAGATGGCAGCACAGTGCATCAACAGTAAAGAGTAACAATGAAAGCTCTCTTAATACATTTTTTATTTGCACTTCTGTTTTGTTTTTGTGAAATTAAATAAGTGGTATATGTTGTAATGCCCAAAGTCTAACTTTGGACATGGTGCTATGGTGTTTGTAAGAGTAAAATACTGTGTTATGCATTGTTTACGACTGGTATAGCTAACAACAACCAACAACATCTGACAACGGCTAACTGTAGGCATCCATCTTGGGTTTCCGACTTGTTTACTAGAATGCCGTCAACTTGGGTGCAATATTATTCCCAGCTCCGACATCTGACTTCCGATCTTACTGGAACGCAGCATTAGTCATCTAGCAGTCAATCTGCCCTATGGTGGAGGTCACAAAGTAACTGTGTATAAACAGCCCCATTTTCCCTTTATGGCCTTGTGTGGTTTTTTGGGCAGTGTTAAGTACAGTCTATTTCATAAACAGATAAAACTCCTCACTGAAGCTTTAAGCAGTCTTCCTGGTGTTATGTGTATAATTATTGACGGCAGAGGCTGGTTATCCAGACAAACATGTCGGTGTTAACAGAGTTTTTAACAGATTTTCTCTCTCATCCATCAGCTCTGTGTCCACTAACGTCAATGTGTCTTCAGAGGTCCTGCCCTCATCCCTGCACAGCCACAGGAGGTGTGTGGGGGTTAGTGGTCTTATTTCAGATGCTGGCACACTGCTCTAGGTTTACTCGGAGGACCACTCCAACATGAGTGATCTCACACTCTGGACGGGATGCAATCTGTCTTCTCCTGGGGCTCTTTGTCTAATACGGCTAATTAGAGAAAGAGAGAAAAGGGTCAATCCTCTGTGTGTGTGTGTCCTCCACACACTCTCTCTCACTGTCCGTCGCCCTCTCTCGCCCATTCTCTCTACCAATTACTGGATTAGAAGGCACTCTACCAGGAGTCACTTAGAAACCCAGGCGAACATGTGCTGTCACTACCAATCTAAGGCTAATGGCGACTGTAAAACAGCCTGAAGAGCGCTGTGGTTTGTGACCAAATTTAGCCATTAGCTGATTACTGCTGCTAATGTGGAACAGCCTGAGAATAAAAGCTTTTATTTTCAGTCCAGATTTACAGAATTCACCGTCATCTGTTTGTCTGAATGGCTCGAAAGAAAACCTGATTGTGTTCGCTGACTCTGCCTTTTCTCCGTGATCTCTTTGAAGCTCAGTGAAACCTGCACAGCCCTCCAGATGGTCCATAAGACTTTGCATACATAGCAAGATATGACTTGGCTTTGCTTCTGTGCTTTTTTATTTTCACAGTATGCTCTCCGAGCATCATCTCTTAGACGTGAAAGAATAGGCATCTCAATCAAAGGGGTGTTTTCCAGCCAGCAAAACGCTGCCAACATGCACCATCTGCTCCTGCTTTTGAGAGGAACTAGAGGAACAGAGTGTTAAAGCAGCTCCAGCAACCTTTCCCTGGCTGGTGTCAGAGGAAGCTGCTCTTAACCCTCCATCAGTCACACGAAGTTGAAACAATCTGACCCCGTAGAAATCTGTGAAACGATCAAGTGTGTTACATTTATGCGCCAGCATCACATAAGCAACGGGAACGCAAAGTTAGCAAAAGAGAAGGTGACATTAGGACTCATTTAAACCTGAGTCAGGGCACCAAAAGTATCTGGTTATAGTTAAAAATTTCTTTTTTAGTAAGTGCTTCTCAGTACTTCAGACATGATCATATTTTTATTATGTGCAAATCAGTATACTAGAAGGGATGAAATGTTTGTCCTGAGCTTGACATTTGGTTAACGCTAGCATCAAGCACCAGTTTTGCACTCTATTTCATTGGGTAAGATCTGTCTCTCTACCCTATTTCTATTCTATATTTTATTATCCGTAAAACAGAAAGATGGGCAGACTTTGCAAAGTTTTCCTTTCTCCATATCAAGTCTGTTCAAGTACTGAGGTGGGGACTTTAATGATGCGTTCTTTACCTTGGAAGTTGGAACTGGAGATGACGTCACACCCCAGTTAACAGCGTTTCAGTTACAAAGTCAGTAGCTAACAGCCAAAAACAACAACTGATACTACCACGCTACAGTTAGCTGTTGTTAGCATGGCCTGCTTTGTAGTTTACATGTACACATGAAACATGTAGATTACACTATGACAGCATTTCCATATATATACATCTAACGATACCATTGTGTACGGCTGACTTATTGAGACAACAAATAGTAAAAAGTGTTTTGCAAGCAGCGCCGCCATCTATTAACGTCAACTTGTGGGTTGTGTGGATCGTCTGACTTTCTGAGTCGGAAATCCGACCTCGGGGGTCATTACAGTTGAAAGTTCTGACTTTGAGCTTGGAAATCCCAACTTCTAAATACAGCTGAAACACACCATAAATGTCTTCTGCTGCAGACCAAAGTCATGTCCAATTCCAGGTGCTGCAGCCTTCGAAGGACTCGACTATTGTGGCCTGAATAGACTGGAACTGAATTGAGCATGCAATCCTTTGCTTCGTCACTACACCCTGATGATGGTGTCACGTAATGCACAGATAAGTAACCTCATCCTGCTGGTTGATAAAGTCTTATACTCACGAAGATAAGACGAACCGGTGTTATGGCTTAAAGTGCAAAATTGTGCACCGATGAATGCATAAGTGGTTGTCATAGTAACAGGCTGAAAGTCCCCAGTTTATGTGGTTAGATATTCAACCTGTACACCAATGTCTGCCCATACAGTACTCAGCATTGAGTTGTTGGCTCGCTATGATGATGTAAAAATGTCAGATCTGGATACTGATTTGTTGTGTAACAAGTAAAATCTTGATAAACGAAGTCATTGGATGATTTGTGTAACACACCTAGTGATCCACGGCTGTGTGAGCTGATGTAGTTGTGTACTTACTGTTAGATTAGGTAAGCGTTTGGGGTTCTGGTTTAGCTCAGTTGCTAGAGCTGGCGGTCAGTCCTACAGTCCTGGTTCCAACAGGATTTGATACGAGCTGCTCTCTCCTTTTAGAAGGTAAAAACCCCAGAATAATCTAAAAGGAAATGTAAGTGTTCCAGATCCCTAAAGATAGGAATGAAGATAGACCTGTGTTGTTCTGAGATTTTTGCTCAGTATTTTAAACAGGGTTGACATTTTTCTTTTTTGAGTTAAGCTCAGACTTTTATTTTGAAAGTGATGGATAATCTTGTGTGCTGATGTTTGGTCAATATGATGTAAATCTGTTTATTGAATATTTAACAGTGTTTATCAGACGTGATACCGTCTCTTGGAGATAAGGATATAATAGAAGTTTTTCTTTTTTTATTATTTTTTATTTTGTTAAATTTGATTGATACCTCTGTGGGAACAGCTACATACATGCAGTGTTTAAGCCGAGAACAAATCTTCCCTTGAGGATAATTAAAATAAGTCTTGTGGTGTTGGAAGCACTTAATGAGAGTTTTGGTTTCACAAGGGACTTGAACCCCCCAGGGTGAAAATCCTGTTTTTGTTCGACCCATTCATCACTCTTGAGTGTCAATCCTGACAGAAATCTGTGGTGTTTTTGTCTTTACAAAAACTCAGAATCAATCGCCTGGTGTGAGACAAAGATAAACACTTTTGAGAGAGATGACCCACTTCTTGCCTTTTTCAGTGAAGCAATGAACAACTTCCAAGAATTCCTTTTCCCTGCACTTAATTATTTACAGTCCAATGAAGAAGTCATGAAACTATCATGTTTAGATAATATGTAAAGTGAAGTTTACTCCTCTAGCTATGTCAGGTATGTCCAAAATTAACTAATTTTTAGACCAGGAGGTGGCATGAATTTTTTTTTTCAATTTGCTTGTGCGATTCAGTATCTCTAACGTGCGTTTTAAACATATCTCGTACGTGCATTTGATTTGTATCTTGTGTATCTTGTGCATGCGTTTTTTGAAAATAATCCTCTGTGCCTCATTTGTGAGAGAAGAAGGACAGTGTCATGGGCGGAGAGCATATTATCAACATTTTCTTTCATTTAGGTATAACTCACAAAGAGATACTTTATAGCTTAGCCACATTTGATGTTGTTTTAAGTAGGAGACATGGTAACGCTTCCTTTTACGGTCCTGTAATTACCATGTATTTACATGGTCATTACCTGGTAAGTGCCATGTAATAAGGAGTAGTTACTGTAAAATTACCATGTTATTACAAGGTTACTATATTGGTAATTACCTAGTACTTTTACTTTTAGTAATTCCATGCAAATACCAAGTAACTATCTGGTAATAAGTATTAATTACTGGGTAATTATAGATTAAATATATAATATATAAATAATTATAAATGTAATTTCTTAAGAAGTACCTGTAACAGCCAGGTAATAAGAAGTAATTAGAAGTGATTACTGAGTAATTATAAAGTATTTATATGATAACTATGTGATTAATTGCCAATTACTTACTCAGTAATTACCACGTATTTTCCTAATAACTACATGGAAACTACAATTTATTTTAGATTACTTATCAGCCACTTACCAAATAGATACCTGGTAACTTCCAGATAACATACCCAGCAATAACTGCAAAATTACCATGTGAACTACCATGTAATTGATAGGTTACTAACTGTATTTATTTCATAACTACACAGTAACTACCCATTAATTGTACCTGACAACTACCAAGGAAGGCTATGTATTGTATTGGTAAATACACAGTAAGTACTGTTAAATTTACACAGAAATTATAATGATACTACCAATTACTTTCCTATTGGCTACCAGGTGTAATTACCAAGATATAAGTTTCTATTAAATTACTGTCATGTAATTACTAGGAGATGACACCTCATCAGGATCCTTAGAGCACAGCAACTTCGCCATCTGCGATGTCCGGACTTGCAGGAAGTGATTTTGTTTATGAATGATCTGTTAAATTGCAGCTGCGATATAATAAAACACACTTATCAGATACTAAATCACATGTGCGAGTTAAAAATAAAAGTTAATGTGACCTCTCGGGCTCCATACAATCTTATTGTTTGTGACTAGGTTATGTTCATTTTACTATGTTACACAGAGGCTGTACTTCGGCTTTCTTTAGCTGTATGAACCAGGAAAAGAAACCTACTTTTGTTTGCTGAAATATCATGTTGTAAGTAAAAAGTCAAGCTTTGTCAGGTCTGTCCTAAAGAACGGATTTGGATCTTAAGAATCCTACTCCTACAGGTAACCATCATACCCTGATTTCAAAAACCAGGATATGCTTTCATGCTGTTTTTTTTTTCATGCTAATATTTATCACACTGGCTTGAGCACTCATGGCTGATATTAACGCTACAAAAAAAAAAGCAGTCTTCATTAGCTGAATGTAATCCCCTCTCTGCTGGCATGTAGAGCACAGTTATATATGAAACACCTACAGGTAGCAGATGGTTGGTTAACGTCATAGAAAAATATAAAAGGTGTGATGGATGCAGAGGTGTGAAACGCAGGATGTAGCGTGACATTCCTGTACAATCAATCAGGAAGTGAGAGGGAGATTTTGCATACTGTAACCACGATGGCATCTGCTGTTTAGATTAGAGATCTTTCATTCTGGTCCTCCAACAGTATCAAGTGCGGGGAAGAAGGCAGCGTTTCCCTAGGCAGTGATTTAAAACCAGTGAAAACAAGAGGGGACAGAAGTTAGCTCACAGAAACACTCTCTCTGGTGGCTGCAGCTATGCAAATTGGACACTCATGGGTAAAGGCGTGATGAGTCACGCACGGGACTCTTCACAAAGACGGCTCTCCGCTCAGCACTTCAGCCGGGAGATGTGTTGATTTTATAGCTCAGAGCTTTTTTATGTTGTTTCCCCTCTGATTCTGCTACATAACAAACCTTAGAATTTCCCTCAGATCCCTCAAAATGCAGCCGAACTTTTGCCTGAATAAGTTGTGAGCTTAAATCACAGCAAATCAAGCTTCTTTTGAAGAGATTAGCCCCCCTACAAACACACACACACACACACTCAAACACACACATACACTGCTTGTTAGCCAGCCAGAGACTTGACAGTGTTTAATTGATTAAACTGTGAATGTCTTCGAAGGCTCAGCTCCAGCATGAAGCAGAGCACACACACCGTATGGGTGGAAGTCAGCAGCAGAGTCAAAAATCTCCAGAATGACTCAGTTTGAGGAGAATATGCTGTTGATTATATAATTGTGAGCATGCAGACTCCAGTAAGACTCATTGACTCCTGCCTTTTTATGTTGTCAAAAGCATGTGTGAGTGTGAGCATGTGATCCGTGTGTCTCACTAACAACCCCCCCTTACATGGAACTTTCTGTGTGTCTGCTTTCATTTGATCTGCAGCTCTGTGGTGTTTATTTGTGCAGCTCGTCGCCAGAGGAGGCTTGTTAGTCGGGATTGTTTAATGCCCTCAGAGGCCGGGTTCTGTCGCTGACTTTCTCGACAGCTCATCAGTGGCAGAGTGGCTTTGCAGTAGATTGACCTAAATTATGTATGACTTTCCTGGGCTGGTTCAAAGGGTCCCCAATGTCACAGGTCTCTCAGAGTAACAGCAGCTCCAGAGGAATGATGATAAAATGGATTCACCTGCTCATGGAAATTTTACTGTTTTAAAACCCCAGACCAGAAGTGGATTTAAAGTGGCTGTTTTGATACTGATCAAAAGGGTGGATCTTAAAAGTGTTTTACAAAGCAAATGTCAGTGTTGAAGACACCATAATGAGCGCCATATATATGTGAATATATGTTAGCTAGATGGATAGATATGTTATAAATACATGACTCAATCAGTTTATTTGCATGCACAGCTAAGTCATACGTATCATACCTGGATCATGCTGTTGGAGATGGGTTTTCTTTTTTGTGTATATGACTCAATCTAACCGAAACTGGCCCAAGTATTCTGCACACAGGGCGTTGAGACAGAAGTTGGATCACGCAATTGTGTTGCTAGGAAGCCGTGTTGTAAACTGTGGCAGCTATGGTTCAGTTAGTAGAGTAGTTCGTCTTTCAATCAGAAGGTCAGGGATTTGATCCCAGGGCGTACCACATGCCGAAGTGTCCTTGGGCAAAACCATTGACTGTAAATTGTCATGAACAACTTGGCTCCGCCTTCTGTCATCATATGAATTTGAAGCCGAATTGCTCTCAGTATTTTCGGGATTTTCTCTATTCTTGGACCCACCACTTGCGCAGTAGAATTGTACCCATACAACGGGAGAGTTGCAAAGAGTCGCTGTGATGATGCTCAGCTCAAACAGCATACCCCCCCGGTGAGCTACGCAATCTTTGTACACCCATAGGCTGTATCAAGTGTCAATCATAAAACCAGTTTTACAGTAACTACATGTCAACATCGCAACCAGGGGGAGGAAAATTTTATATTCTGTGTGATAAATACTGCAGCCTGTCACCAGAGGGTGCTGTTCTCGCGGTGGCGTCACCCAGTGAGGAGGCAGATGGCGTCCATTTTATATACAGTCTATGGTCAAAACGTTTGACCCCACCTGCCCCAGTGGTGTGTGAATGGAATGAGTCCCAAAACTGATGACTTCTATACATAGCAGCCTCAGCCATCAGTGTGTAAATGTGGTGTGAATGGGTTAGAGTGACATGTGATGTAAAGTGCTTTGAGTGGTCAGAAGACTGGAAAAAGTGCTCCATAAACATGGTCTCTTTACCATTTAAACAAAAACTTGACATGACAGAGAAATCTATCCTTTACCTCATTATCCGGGTATGTA